CCATCTCTTAGATGGGTGCGATCTACTTGCAACAACTGGAACGATTTATCAGAAAACCATATATTTGGCAAACCAAGTAATAATCAGTTTGTGGGGTTCATGATGAAGGATTTTAGGGTTTGTTCCTTGAGATTCGGTCTTCAAGGAATCCGCAACAAAGGAGTTTTGGTTGAGCCATCTATAAAGCACGTAAGTATACTTAACCAAGTCGAGATATCTAAAATCTTTCACCAAAGACAACTCGAGTCTCGTGGTGTGGAATCCTTATTTAGGTCAAACAAGGTGGATCCAACCTATAACCAGTTTCCATAGATTAGACGTATATGCTCTCGGTTATGACGACAACAACTCTAACCATAACCACAAAATTTTGAGGTTTAGAGATCATCACAAATTTATGGAGTGCGAAATCTACGATTTTAGATCTAACTCATGGAGGGTTCTTGACGTCACTTCAGATTGGGAGATAGAGTTTTATCAACGCGGCGCGACTCTCAAGGGGAATAATTACCTTTTTGCTAAAGAGAAAATTGTGTTCCGTGAAGGAGTCAATATCGTAGATACAACGGAGACTGAAGATTTTTTACTCTACTTTGATTTTACAACTGAGAGATTTGGACTGCGTCTTCCTCTACCGTTTTACTTTTATGTGGACGAGACTGTCACTCTATCTTGTGTTAGAGATGAGCATCTTGCTGCGTTATTACAACCTTGGGATGGTAGTCAGGTGATGGAGGTTTGGGTTACGACTAAGATTGATCCCAATGCAGTGTCGTGGAGCATGTTTCTGAAAGTGGATATGAGTCCACTCACTGGTTTTACATTTTATTTTGATGCTGCGAGTTTCTTTATTGACGAGGAGAAGAAAGTCGTTGTGGTTTTCGAGCTAGACGGACATACCGAGAGACATGTCGCTACCAAACCGCTTACATCATTGGACAAGATGGATACTTCAACCCTGTGAATATCGGAGAAGCAACAAATCTCGCGATACCTAGAATCGTTCTTAGTGCAACTGCAAATCAACAATACCGCAGAAAGTGATGATTGATTTGACTCTTTGTTTCATCCATTTACTTTCATGTCTTGTTGCTAGAACAAAAGTCCACTGATAGTCATTTATTGATTTTGTGTTTTGCTATTTATCCCAAAATAAAGATCATTCGGCTTCTTTGCATGTTTTGGCATCTTGTCTACAGCATCGGTTGAATATGTTCGTTATGACTTGACCATGTTTCAACCCCTTTGTTTCAATTCATGTTATTGTTGTAAACAAAACAAAAACCCCTCTCTTGTGACTCCTTTCCGTCTTCTCACTTCACCTTTGTTCTTGTTGGGTTCGTCTTAGCGATTAACACCTCGTGACCCCGATCCAAAAACTCTTTGAATTATTATTTTCTGTTTTGAGAAGATGTACGTAATTCGAACTAGGTAGGGAGACGAATGATTAACCGAAGCTAATACTCCAATAAATATTAATAACGAAAACGAAATTACGACAAAAGAATCATATCCCAAGAAAATAATGTTAAACTGGGACCTAGCTTAATACAGGTCGGTCCAAATTTCAATCAGAAAAATAAATGAAAACCATGTTTAAACATTAAATATTGAAAGACTTTCGTAGTATTATATAATGCCAAAAATAACTAAAACAAAGGAACGAAAGTACTCCATTTTTAGGATCAAATCGTTCATTTTTTTAACTTTCAACTATCGATTTAACGAGTAGTGTTGACAACATTTAACTCTATTTCCTTAAGCCATTCACTTATTAACGGAACAACATAAAAGTGATTCAAACATCTAACTGCCTAAAAATGGGTTACAGGCCCACGAAAAGAGAAAAATATGGGCTTCGTTGTGGGCATTAAATGCATGGCAACTAGTCAGAGTCAGGGACTACTACACGTTGATTTCCATTTTTTTTTCCTTGGTCTACTGATTAATAATTTTATCCTATTTTGTATGGACATAAATAAAAATATCAACAAACTAATGAGACAAAAATAAACAGATTGTATTAAATTATATTTGAACTTATGCGTTATTCAATTAATATTTTTTACAAAAATATCTTTTGAATACCAAGTCAATTTTTTTGTTTACAAAGGGTGCAGTATTCTTATCAAGCATAGAAGATTTATTTAATTTGAAATTTGAGATTTTTTTCTTCTTTTTACAGTCATTTTCCGCCGAATTAATTCGTATTTTGGGTACTTTCTGAAAAAAAGGAACTGGTAATTAATTATTTAACGTTTAAAAATCACTATCAGACAGTGAAAAACAAAGTCTCCTTTTTGTCTGTTTCTGTCTCATTAACTACTCTTGCATACATTCCCCTCTACTTAGGCGATTTGCCTTTGCACTCTCTCTCTCTCCCCCGGAGTCTCAGGCTTTCTCTCTAACTTGTTTCCCTCCTTGATTGATGAATTTTCTAGGAGAAACTTGATCGATTTGTGAAAACCCAGACCAAATCTCTTGACATTTTCCCAGGTTTCGATGCGTTTCTGAGATTGGGTTTCTCTTTCTTTGATGAAATTCAATCACTTTCAGGTAAAATTCCAACACTTGTTCTTTCTTACGAATCCCAATTACTAATGCATATCAATATCTGAAGTAAATTTCGCGAAGTCTGATCTTCTTACCGGTTTGGTCACAAGGTGTTTGTTGAAATTCCGGAGAGAAAAAGAGAGGCTGGAATTGGAATTCTGTAAGAAAATGAGGGATTTCCCTTCTTGCTCTGGTGAAAATGGAGTTCAGATTGCGGATTCTTCTTCCTCGAACGCCGGGAAAAATGCTCAGAATCTGGTCGTTTGTATCTACCGTTGTCGCATCAGAGGTAGGACTTGCTTGATCACAGTCACATGGACTAAGAATCTGATGGGTCAGTGTGTAACCGTGGGAGTTGATGATTCTTACAACCGAAGTCTGTGTAAAGTCGAGATTAAGCCGTGGCTCTTCACTAAACGAAAAGGGTCCAAGAATCTAGAGGCGTATTCCTGTAATATCGATGTGTTTTGGGATCTCTCCTCCGCAAAATTCGGATCCAGCCCTGAACCTTTAGGAGGTTTCTATGTAGGCGTTGTTGTGGACAAAGAAATGGCTCTTCTTCTTGGTGATATGAAGAAAGAAGCTTTCAAAAAGACTAATGCTGCACCTTCTTCAACTCTTGGTGCTGTGTTCATTGCCAAGAAAGAACATGTCTTTGGTAAGAGAACGTTTGCAACAAAAGCTCAGTTTTCAGGTGATGACAAAACCCATGATCTTGTGATCGAATGTGATACGAGTCTCAATGATCCTTGCCTCGTTGTTCGTGTCGATGGAAAGACCTTGATGCAGGTGAAGCGGCTTCATTGGAAGTTCCGTGGCAACGATACGATAATTGTCAATAGTATCTCTGTGGAAGTTCTCTGGGATGTCCACAGTTGGTTCTTCGGGCTGCCATCATCACCAGGAAATGCTGTATTTATGTTCAGGACTTGTCAACCTGTTGAAAAGACCTGGTCTTTCACGCAAGTCCCGACGAGCTCGAAATCTCAAAGTTATGGGTTTTCATTGATTCTGTACGCTTGGAAGAACGAGTAGAGAAGAAGAAGTTTTGAGAGTTCTTTTCTTTCTCTTGAGTGCTAACAAAAGGTTAAAAAGGAACTGTTGATTCTTGTCATTTATTTATCATATGATCAATGGGTTTCAGTCAGAAGAATTTGAACTTCGCATATATCAGTTTCATATGTCAAAGTTTCTACATGAGACTTGTAAAGACTCTTGTTCAAAGTCGATTACTTTGGACCTATATCAAGGATACATCTGTCCAGATACTCTGTTTTGTTCTTTAGGTGCATAATGTTCCTTATTGGAATGGTTAGATTTAACCACATCACGAGTTTCTTTGCTTTATGGTCTTCTGCTACTACGAGTTTCTATTCTGCTCATCAAGCATTTGTATCCTCCTTAAAGATATATCATGTCTGCGGTTTTGTTTCTCGCCATACTTTTTAAGATGTTGTATATAGCACTTTGTTAAGGCTGATGCTATTATCAAGCTCTTCGCGATTTATGCAGGTAATAAGAGTATTCTATGAACGAATCTAAAGGAGACGTGGGTTTGTACTTGAAGATTCCTGAATTGTGAATCAGTAAGTCACGTTTCTTGAAATTTTCACATTTCGATTATTTTTCTTGGTTTGGCCTCTAGCCATCATCTTGTTGTTTATGGCTTTGGTAGAGTTGTTCATTTGGTTCAGATAAGTCTCGTCAAAGTAGTTCTTGTTCCTAAGAAACTGTCTGAATAATGTTTGAATTGTTGGGTTTGTTAAAACACTTTCCAGGTCAGTGCTTAACATTAACCACTGGAAATTGACTGTTGGGTTTGTCCAAATATTGTTTTTGTAACATCAATCCGTGACTTGAGATATTGTTGTATATAGTTTATGATTGTATATCCACCAAAAAAGAGTACAACTTTGCACTCTTGCTTGTAAAAGCATCAAAGTTCTCTTTGGATTGTCAAGTCAAAGAAAGATCTTTTAGAGCAAGCCAAGTTAACTTTATACATCATTTCAAACTTTTAGATTTGGATATCTCAATAGGTGTGTGTGGGGGACCTGACCATAAACTACAGACAGTTTTATAGAGAATCTCTGAAACTGCTTGCCGTTTGGTTTGATATCTTCTCTCTTTTTTGGCTCTTTTTTGTCTAAGGGAATCTTGAAAAGGTTAATGCGAAAGGGAGAGACATAGATATGTCCTTTATAATATGCTTCCTATTGCTTCAACAAAAATTTCTTTTGGGTCTTTGTGGAATCATCACATGTTTGCCTTTTTGTCTAACTCTGTAATAATATGTCATGACAATACAATAGCCTCTCAGTTTCCTAGACCATGCCACTTGGACCCCACCCAAACGTACCTTACCTGAAACCGGTTCGGACCAATGTTTTGGTTTTTTGTTGTTTTATGTACAAAGTTTTGGGATACTCTTTGTATTACTATTGTTCCTTTGGGAAATGGGCACATTTGTTAAAAATGTTGGTACCAAACCCAAATTGCTTTTGAAAATAATCAAAAACAAGTTTTTATCTATGGATCAGTCAAGATAATCATGTTCATCTTGTCCTTTTTGCCCAGTCCTCCTCGTCAAGTCTCGACTTGTTTTGTTCACATAGACGTATATCAAGCTTGCTTCGTTGTTTCCCTTTGAAAATTCTTTTGAAAACTGGCTTCTTGATTTGCAATTGCACTAAACTAGGAACATAGGAGCACACATGAGCATTATGAAGTAGGACACGTTTTGTGAGGGGATCCACATCCACTTGTGTGAAGAATCCAGCCTCTCCAATGATGTAAGTGTGTGGCGAGTGTCAGTGAATTTATCAAAAACCATGGCGACTTTCTTCTCCTCGTCAATGAAGAAACCCGAAGATGAAAAACAAATCTCCTCCGCCATAACGACTTTGAAGAAGTTGCTCCATGACACGTTGTTGGGGTCCGTAACCCATATCTCAATCTCCGAAGGTCGTCCATACTGTAACAAAAGGGAAAGCTTCTCTCTTTAATAGAAGATAGAATCCCAAGCACACCACGATGCTCTTCGGAGGGAAACGGTAGAGGGAGAATGGGCCAAAATCTCTCGCTTGTAAAATCAAAAGAGATTAAGCGATCAGAACCATCGTAGTCTGAGTTCCTACGTCTAGCAAGCCAGTAAGTGTTTCCATTGAGAGGAACGCCAGTTCTATAAAAATATATATACCAGTGTGGAGTACCCACATCGAGAGTCCTCCATAAATTGCAGTCAAAATCGTAGTGGCCCAAGTGTCTTATTGGTCTTGCTCTTGGTGCATCGGAATGACGGTGATCATCCATAAACCTTAAGATTTTGTGGGAAGAAGAAATCTCATTATCGTACCCCAAGGCGTAACTGTATCTGTCAATTCCATCGCTATCGCGATAAGAATAACTAGGTGGTTCGATCCACCTTGTTTGGCACAAATACGGATTCCAAACCAGTAACCCCTCGCAGTGAAACACTTTGATTATCTGTTGATCTGAATCATCTAAGCTTGGGCAACTAAGTTTACCTTTACACTCTACAGATGGATGATCAACGTCGGCGACGACCGCGCTGATCAAATGAAGATTGGAATCCATAATCGCCACCATCCGAGACTCCCCTGCTTCCCTTGTTGCGTCGTTACGCATGTGCATCTTCCTAAATATGTCACTTTTCGATAAAGTGTCCCACCTTTTGCAAGTTAACCGCACTGCTCTCATAGATTTCAGCGGAACTCTACACACAATCTCACATAGCAGATCCATTGGAAGATCAGAGATCCTGATCGTCGTCGTCATTGTTTTGTGAAATTAGGGTTTTCACTTCGTTAACCTAGAAAAAAACTTGACCAACAAGTTAGTATGCAGAACAAGTCTCTCTATACAAGTAAAAGAAATCATTGGAATTTGCCTTCGTTTATATAATCTTGTTTCTTATCAGGCCTAATAAGGTTTTAAGGCCTGAAATGAAAAGCCCATAGGCTTATTTAGTTTCTTGCTTTATTTTATTTTCATTATTGTAGAGAAACCAAAGCACGGCTTTTCACATATCACTGTTTCCCGCTTTCCCGCTCCTCCTCCTCCATCGAAATCTCCACCTTCTTCTTCTCTCCTCAGTAACCGATCGAATTTCTTCCCCGTCGTCTTCTTCTTTTTGGGGCTTCGTTGCTTGATTCCGGCTGAGTTACCGGAGATTTGCGGATGTGACGTTGAGTAAATAAACCTCGCCGGAGATGATGAACACACCAGATAAGAATCGAATCTCCGCCGTTTCGTTCTGCAACGTTGAGGTTTTCTATCAATCCGAATTTCTAATTATGATATTCTGTTCCTAATTTAAGTAATAAGAAGACTTCCGAGTGAATTTTACATGGAGAAGTTTCCTAAATTGGCTCGTGTTCATCGGACCAATTACTGTTTAATTTTTCAATGATTTTAGGGTTTCTTCTGAGTATGCTTGAAATTGGGGTCGTTCTTCAATTTTTTATGTAAATGGATCACTATTTATGTGTTGAAATGGTTAGATTCTGACTTTGTTGAATCCGTGAATCTGCAGGATTCTCCAGTTTTTCAATTTATTAACGATCTTTCCCCTATAGAGCCAGTAAAAGGAGCACGAGCAGAGAATATCTTCCACTCATTGGCTTCTTCATCTCCATCGTCTCTTTTTACTTCACCTCAGATAAACTCTTACCGAGATTCCAGATTTTCAATCAAAAGGTGATCTGATTTTAGAGGAGAAAGATTTGTTGGTTGTTTTTATTATGCTGATATTGGTATTGTTGTGTGGTTATGTTCTTTCTTTAGGCATCGTTCTTTAGATCTATCTAGTCCAGTAGTCCTACTTGGTGAGACTGTAAAAAGCTCACTAGATGCTCTGGAAGCTGTAAGTGAGGAACAGCTAAAGTGTAGACCTGACCAGTTGGAAAATGTTTCTGAAACCAAGCCATTTAATGAGCACATAAGCTTAGCAATTGAGTTGGCGAATACACTGAAAAATGGAAGTGATGGATGTGATATTCAAATGGTTTCTTGTGATGAAATATCAATGGATGCTGAAAATGATATAGGAAGAGTCGGATTGAGAAAGCAATCTGATGAGTTATGTAGACAGCCTAATGAACTTGATGCTGATTCGGATGGGGTACTTCAAACCGAAGAAACGGAAGCTGAGATTGGGTCTGGTGCTGGAATTCAGAACAGTGAGCAAGAGGTTCCAAAGATCATGGATTGTAGATTTAATTCTTTTACTTTGGCGCGTCAGCAGTTTTCTATCTGCTGTAATAACTCAGGGAATGTAGTAGAGCCTGGAGGTTCTTACAGTGTGCAAGTTCCAGCTGGAATTCCAGACATCGCTCTCAGCAGTTTTTCCAACGTTGTACAGCCCAGCCGCAAGGTAACATTTCAAGTAATTGATTTTGCTTTGTTGATTTTTTGTAGTGGTAAATGTCTTCTCAAACCTCCTGATTAATCATTAGTCATGTGGTATACACTGTACTCATTCAGCTGTGGCCATTGGTCATGCGTGTAAGTTGACATTTTATTTTAGTTGTACACAATTTGATTCTTCAATCAACTTCAACAGCTACATTTCTTTCATTCTTTACATTTTTGCGGCATATCATTCAACTCATGATGTGATATTGGAGACTTGACTTCAGGTGACTCCTTGCAGTTACATAATTGTTCCTTGTTGCAAGTAGCATTGTTTTCGTCATCTTGCTGTTAGTGTGTTGGTTTAAATTTTGAATAGAATTTTGCTAACGACTATAAATTGACTCTTGCAGCAACGGAGTGTACGCCGGCGCTGCTTGACTTTTGACGTGGGAGGATCTTGCAATAGGATACCATTGCGTGATTCCACAAACGATCTACCCATTGGTTTTACCTCTATCAACAAAGCTCCTAATCCTCAAAAGTGTTTGGACTCCATCAAACAAGAAACTGATGAGATTCTATCCATACCACGAACAATTGGCCTGCACTTGAATGGTCTCGTGAACCCATCAGCCTCAAGTGACCGGAATAAATTAATGTCCAAATATGGTGAATTCTCAATTCCTGCTTCCACAAAAAGAGATTTGGTTTCCTATGATAACAAAATCATTGAGGAGGATCCTGAGAGATCTAAGGAAGGAGCATATTTTGAGGAACTTGGCAATTGTAAGCGCTGTAGATGTAGGAAATCCAAATGCTTGAAGCTGTAAGTTCATTTCTTACCATCATTTTTCTTGTCATTTATTGCTTTTTTCCAAATTTACCTTCATGTCACCAGATATCTTTTGCTTAATCTGTTGTAGGTATTGCGATTGTTTCGCTGCTGGTCTATACTGTGTTGAACCTTGTGCGTGTGAAAATTGTTTCAATAAACCAATTCATGAAGAGGTAGTTATGAAAACTCGTCGAGACATTGAAGCTCGCAACCCATTAGCTTTTGCTCCAAAAGTGGTCTCTACTTCTGATTATGCAACAGGTTTTCGGGTAAGACATGAGATCAACAATGAGTTTTTGCTTAAATATGTAACAAAGAAGAAAACTACTGACTAATCTCATGTTTATATTACACAACTGTAGGACGAGAACAGCAAGACTCCCGCTTCAGCAAGACACATGAGAGGATGCAACTGCAAGAAATCAGGCTGCTTGAAGAAATATTGTGAATGCTATTTGGTAATTTTGGTTTCACTTATCTACCTTTCTTCACACTTGAAATTTTGAATAATGTCTCTTCACTGTTCTGAACCATTTGGATGTTAACAATGATTTTATGAAGATGGGCGTTGGATGCTCCCCGAGCTGCAGATGCATAGGATGCAGGAATATTGTTTGTCACACAAATGGTAAACTACTAAGCTTTTAAATATCAATGCCATTTTCATTCTAGTTTAGAATTATCTTTAGATTGTTAACATTTGTTATCAGAGCAATTCCACTTCCCTCGCGCGGTAGACTCTAATGTGGTTTTCAAACAAGGAGGAAGCTAAAGATCATGGTGATTATTTCTAATTAAGTTTAGTTTGGTGATATATATACATATATATGGAAGGTTTTTGCTTAGGATGAATATGTACATCCGTTTTGCTCGGCTCTTTTTAAAAATTTGTAGTGTTTGGGTTTTTTTCACTGAAAGTTTTGTAATGATGTTCACTACTACTTGTCTCCTTTCTCTACTTGCTCCTAGTTTCTTCTCTTATGGTTGTTGCTAATTCCTTCTTCAATACAGAACTCTACAAACAGATTCATGATATAAAGTAGTTGTGTAAATAGATGAAAGAGAAAAAACATCTGGTAATTTATTTTTCAGAAAAACATATGGTAACTTATTTTTCAAATGGTTTCTTGAAAAGGGAAAATTATTTTAAAACTTTTGTGATTCGATCCAAATGAAGAGAAGATTTTTGGTTTTGTATGTGTTTGTTAATAAAGAAATTTGTAGTTTCAGACAGTGTTAATGTGATACTTCTGGGAGAGAAATCGTTGTGGTAGCTGCTTTTGACGTATTTCAAAACTTCTCAAATCCTTTTTATCAACTCTACGATTACTGCTTAATTAAATAAAATTTATTCAAAAATTTTAGAAAACAGTGTTTACAATACAAATTTAGGTTTGTTCCTAACCGAACTCAAATTTGGAGAAAAATGTGTTCCATAAATTATCCAAAACTCGCAAGTTTTTACCGAAGAAAAGTAATCAGTACACCACAAAAAAAAAAACTGAGGGACAATACGATACGAGTGTGAAACGAAACAAAAGGCATTAAAAAGCTAAAGTTTTAAAGAAAAAAAGATCTCTCAATTTTAACATTTCCTTGAAAACCCTCTCTTAAGATCCGATAACAACAGTAGGTTCCTCGACCACAGCCTCATCCTCCGGCCTGTCTACCTTCACACCAACATCCTCTGCTGTGTAATCTCCATGAACCTACACGGATTAATACACAGGCATTTGCTTAGTATACACTCTATCATGAATCAAAACAAAAGTGTTGTTTCAAATTCTTTTTATTCACCTCCATGAGCTTTCCAAGGTCGAATTTGGGAGCCTTGAGGATCTTGACTTTACGGATGAAAACGTTGTGAAGAGGGTAGATGTTAGAAGTTGCCTTCTCAATCTGACTGCCAATAGCTTCGGGAATGAACTTACGAACAAGCTCCTTAAGGTCAACAGACGAAGCTTCCTTGATCATGATATCCCTCATCTTCCTGCGAATCTGATGAATGCACAAAAGTAACAATCTAAGCTCAACAGACAAAACAAATGATAGCAAAGCAAAAGACTCTGGTCAAGACAGACTTGGTTCTTCACGGTAGGTGAATTTTACCTGACGGACTTGGCTCGATTGAGCATAGCAAGTTCTCTTAACCTGGTTAGCACGTCTCTTGGTGAAGGCGATGCAGAACAGCCTCAGAGTGTAGCTATCGGTGGTTTTAACATCAACATGACACTCAATCAAAGTCTGCCACTTCTTAACCAAGGACCTGAGTTTGTCGGTTGTGAAGTCCATGCCCTGCGGACGAAAACAGAAAAGACTCAGGATTTCATCATGGAGAAGACAGATAGATCAGATTAATAAACAAGAACCAAGTGTCCTTACCCAGAATTGGCACAAAACATTCCTTCCCTGGACATCTTCAGCTCTGAGACGGATCTTCCTGTAAGCATTATCCTCATCTCCTTGAAGATCAGCAAGCGAAACCTCAAAAACTCTGTGTTTCAGGCCCTCTGAAGCAATCTGGTACGTAATCAATCTCAAAGTGAGCAAACCATATACAACTATGGCAATCAATCTAAGAACCATTAGGTATTGCACTAAGTTACTCAGACCTAAATCAATTCCGATCAAATCAATTGATTCTACCAAGAATCTAGTTATATCACCAGCTAAAGCGATAGACGAGTGCTTGTAATAAGAGAAAAGACTGTAAAAGAGAGACAAAGACATTTACTTTGGTACCCTGAGTTCTGGAAACAAGTGTCTTTCCGACATTTCTATGGGTGAAGATTGAAGGAGCCTTAACATCATACCAATCCTTCTTGGAGAAAGGATCAACACTACATTTCATTGATTAAAAACAACCATCAATTTCCAAGATTCAAATCTACTAACACATAAAACATTGAATGTAAACACAAAAGGTTTATAATACTTACATCTTCTTCTTTCCTCCCTTCCTACCCTTTGAGATTCTCTTGTTTTTCCTACAGGAAAACTCGAAGGATCTGTAATGGATACTTGGAGATACAAATCAGAACCTGAAAATGAGAAAATCTGGAGAAATTACCCGACTGCCATGGCTGAGGAAAATAGGTCGACGATGTATCAGAGAAGAAGCAGAAGAAGATAAAACCTAAAGCTACGGCGCTTGCTTATAAACTCAGAATCTAGGGTTTTGAGTTTTACACGCTGAAACAAAGATTTGGGCTTTAAGTTGGCCCAATAACGAAGTATTCATATATTATTAATGGGCTAAACTTTAAGTGGCTCAACATGTATTTTCTTTTTCAACTCGATCGCTAAATGAATATACTTTGCGCGACAATAAAACTTTGATTTTTTTGAAACACAAAAATTAGTGATAAATATAATTCTTCTCAATTTCTACTTTTCTAGACAGCATGATTAGTAAAAATTAACAATATTTGCTAAGTTTATTAATTTTTTGTTTTAGATTGAAATGAATCGGTTCCATTAATGTTTAAAAACCTCTAGTAAACCGTATCATTGATTCAATATATAGCCAAGAGGGAAAATGAACAAAATTCTAAGCAGAAAAAAGGAAACGAGTTTCAGAAAGGTCTTGATAATAAAAGCTTTAAAACCAAAAAACCAAAAAAAGTTGTCAACCTGCGATTGCTTGCCTCTTGTGGTATTAAACTAAGAAAGTTTCAAGCTTCTTAACGCAGAAGAGAGGAGGCTGAGTTTGGCCGGAGCTTTTAGCCTGTACTCTTTCTCCAATGCGGTTGCAGCCAGTGTCTGAAGCTCTGGTGCAGCCATGTCCTTGTCCTCTTTGTTCCTGCCTCTTGACAGCTGTGCGATCGCTGATCCACACTGATTTCAGAAAAGATGTATCGGTCATGACGGAAACCGAAGATGTATCAGTCACTATGTCAAATGGAAAACCGACAGTTGATTAGACCGGTGTGAGGAAGAGAGGGACTCTTACCAAGCAAATTCCGAGAAGTGCTCTTGTGCTTTTACCACCTGTTAAGTCTATGGTTGCCGCATAGTACTTTCTTGCTGCGATGAGGTTTTCAAGTCCACCAATTGTGTAGAGAACCTGATTTTGGAGAGTTTTGCACACAAAAGAAAATTGAGTTAATAACACAATATCAGGATCATACATGATGAAAACTGTATTTTAGAGTTTGAAACAAAAAGAAAAAAAAAATCACTCCAGTCTAAGATATAATCAGCGACAAATCTATTATAAGACGCATGTGCTATACAATATCTTAAACGTACTCCTTGGTGATGGCTCCATAAATGTATATACAAGGAACTGATTGACCTTTTTTAGCAAAGGATGTAAAAGATGGACTTACATCGGCATATGCTAGGTGGTACAATGGAAGAGTAGGCTGACTTAGTATGAGCTCCTCGTAGCAGAAAGCTGCTTGTTTGTACCTGTGGCCGATTATAAATAAGACTGGGTTGAAAGAGAGAAACCCCAAAAAATGAATTTTTTTGTTGTAAATTGTTGCAGATTGAGTTTATCAAAAACAGTTAAGAGGATAGAGAGGCGCACATTTGCAAGGAAACATAAATTTCTGCAAGTTCTCTCCAGGCATCGTGATCAGCCATGAATCTACGTAAAGTAAGAAGAGCAGATAAAGGTAATCAGCTGTGGTGTGTTTCTTCTGATATACTTCTATTATTAGTCCAGATTGGGGTTAGTAATTACTCACACTTCAAGATATTTGTTAAGATGTTCAATGGCTAAGGAAGGTTTCCCCAGTGCCTTTGCCATAGCCACCTTTCTTTTGTGTATTACCTAGACATCGAGTTTTACTTGCAAAAGTTAACATTTGGAAGCAGTTTGTGGGTAGTTTCATGAAGCAAACATGTGGAAGCTTACTTGATCGAGTGGATTATCCTCCAAAAGGCTTGTATACGCTTTTTCAGCCTCTTCCCACATTCCCTTTGCTTCTAGAAGCAGTGCCTCCAGCTTGCCTGAAATATATTACCAAGATGCAGGTCAGATTGGGATCAAGGTAAACTAAGAAACTAGATGCCTGCAGAATCCAACTTTTGGTATAACTAGAAAACACCTGACCTGAGCACATATATGTACACCAAGCAGACCCAAAAATATCAAAATAGACAAAAACCAGTAAGGACATGTAAATAAACAAAACTTATGCATGTAGACCATCTAAGTCAGCTTGAGTTGGCTGGTATACTTTCAATTTGATAAATCCTTCTTACTTTTGAGAGGGAAATGCAAGAAAAAGTATAAGAGAAAATGGAAAGGATAGGGTCTTTACATATTCTTGTTCCTAACCTAGTTATCAAATCGTAGGTTTTTATCGTAGAAGCCTAGAGAGTGGATTCGAGCAAATTATGAAGTCCAACAAGAGAGAAGAATTGCTCAGATAGTCGAGAGTTGATATTGACTTACCAACACGTTTGCTCTCCGGAAATTTCTTTTGCAGAACCTTGATGCAATTCTGCAAAAAATACCAAGTTAGCCTTTTGGTGAGATATCCAAATTGTCATGAACATGCTTGAAAAGTGCGGATTGCAGAATAATTACTTGAAAGGCAAATGCAATACCCAAATGTGAATTATGTTTTTCATTTCTCAATCCATCATATTCAGAAAACAACTCACATCACAGTGTAAAGGAAATTCACCTGTGCAACACTAAGAGACTGACAGTCCATAGCTGCAATTGCTACCTGCTCATAGAGGGTCCATTCTGCACAAACAACAATAGAAACTTAGTCCTTTCGTTTTATGATGTGCAAGCAGCTCTTTTATTGCCTTTCTACAATTATTGTAAAGCTAAGACAACAAAAACAAATTGAAGAGATTGGCAGAGATAATACATGTACAAAAACAACAACAAAAAATCCATTGAAGTGGATTCTTCTTAAACATATGTTCAATTTCACAAGTAGGGATAAAACAGTGAACAAATCAATCCAGCACATATATAGTTTGAGCAGATAAAAAGTAAACGAAGTATCAGCAGGGAATGGAAGCAGAAGCAATCAAATCCAAAATTCATTTGAATGAAACTCACGATTTGCAAGTAATCAAGTAATTCAGGAAATCAACAAACACACTCAATTCTCAATTAGTAAGTAAGAATGAACAGACCATCTGGACCAAGAGCAGATCGCTTTCCCGGATCGTTCAAGATCGAGAGACCGTGTTTGAGCACAATCTCTGATCGGCGAACCTTGAGCTTACGAACGAGGCACAGATACTCCCAGACACCTCCTCCTCCATTCTCAACCTGATTCTCGAGCTGGCTCAACTCTGTCTCTTCCGTTTTCTTCACCATCTCTCTCTGCTCTCTGTACCTTTGAAATTTGTGGATCTGTCTGTTAGTGCGAAGAAGGTCGATCAGGGAAAGTCGCTTTTCTACAACGAAGACAATGAATTGAACCGGCTCGGTTTAAATCTCGTACCGATTTGGTTCAAATTATCGAATTCGAGAAAATATTCGATTCATTGATACCAATCTGGTTTATAGAATATTTATCGTCGGAGAGATTGAAAGCTCAGTAACCGGCTTTAAGTCAATGGAGAACGAAACGGTGCATCGTTATATTATCCTTGTTTGCTAGCCCACACCTTTACGGGCTTTGATTAGGCCCATTAGTATATTGTATGTATCAGTTTTGAAGAAACCCTGCGTATACTTGCGTCTGTTGATTTGTTTAGGGTTAAGAAGATGCGGAGTAACTACACGGCGCTGCCGGAGTTCGCGACATCAAAAACAGCGGTTTGGTGGGACATCAACGACTGTCCGGTTCCCGATGGTTGTGATGCTGGTCGCGTCCGTCAGAGTATTGAAGGGGCGTTGAAGAATTTAGGCTACAATGGTCCTGTCACCATCACTGCCTATGGCGACCTAAAACAAACCCCTGAGCACGTCCTGCGACGGCTCTGTTCAACACACCGTTAAAGGTTAATCCTTTTCTTTTGATCTCTGGATCTTTTTTAGCTATTGCTAGTTAACTAACTGCTTTCGCAGAACTGAGATGCTCATTCATGTATTCGGATCTGCTGGAATGGCAAGAGCATAATCCTCCTCCGGCTACAGTAATGCTTATATCCGATCAGGTGGAAGATGTCTTCTCTTTCGCTCTTTGCCGGGAACACCAAGTGAAGCATGGATACAACCTTGTTCTCGCATATACACATATCTCGTACAAAGGTTCAGTCCTCTACACTACTGCACAGTGGCTCTGGGGAAGCTTACTGACAGATTTAGAGACACCAAGACAGGTTCTTCGCAAGTGCAGTGAAACTGGTGAATCTGCCATGCTTCATTGCAGATCGTGTGATTTTGACACCAAAAAACCTTGAAATTTTTACCAACCATCTCTCGGGGGAAGAACATGCACAAAAAGTTAGTAAGCAATCCTCTCTGTTTACATTTTTCATTAACTGTTTGAGTAAGCATCCTCTTTATCTTTTTCCAGGAGACTAGAATTAATCGTTCTACTCATCCAAGCCTTGGCTCGGAGTATGAGCAATCAAAGGCAAGTTTTCTTAGTGCTAATTTAAACTGTAAGTGGTAGTCAGTTTGGAGGTTTTGTATGCAATTTTCGCGGGATATAGTCCTTGTTAGCCCACACATGCTTTTATTTAGACCCATAAGTTCAGTGTATAGTTATCAAACTTGAAAGAAACCCTAAGGATCGAGAACTTGAATCTGTTAATTTATTTAGATTAAGAGGATGCCGGCCTGAGTTCGCCACATCTAAAACAGCGGTCTGGTGGGACATGATGGACTGTCCTGTTCCTGATGGTTATGATGCTCATCGAGTCCGTCCGAGTCTAGAAGGGGTGCTGAAGAATTTAGGCTACTCTGGTCCTGTCAGCATCACTGCCTATGGCGACCTAACACAAACCCCTGACCACTTCCTGCGAGGTCTCTCTTCCACTGGGGTCGCTGTTCAACACACCGTTAAGCCTTGTTACGATCGATCTCTGGATTTCTTTTCTTACGGGGTTTAAAATTTTCCATATTGCTAGTAAACTGCTTTCCTTTACTGAAACAGGCCGTAAAAGTTGCTCACTCATGTATTCGGATCTGCTGGATTGGCACGATGATAATCCTCCTCCGGCAACAATAATGCTTATATCCGATCATGTGGAACGTGCCTTCTCTTACGTTCTTTGCCGGCTAAAACAACGGAAGCATGGATACAACCTTGTTCTGGCATATACATCTACTGCTACACGAGCTTCAGCCCTGGTCACTTCTGCAGAGTGGATATGGGAAAGCTTATTGACAAGTTGTTGCCCTCTCAGAAACCACCAAGCTAAGCTCTGCTTCTGAGCTTACTAGGTTTTTTCTTCCACAGATTCAGAGTCACCAATACAGGTTCTTCACAAGTGCAGTGAAACGGGTGAATCTCCCATGCTTCGTTGCAGATCGTGCCGTTTTGATGCCCAAAGCCTTGAAGATTTTACCAAGCATCTCTCGAGTGAAGAACATGTACAGAAAGTAAGTTAGCATCCTCCCTGCTTGTATCAGTTACATTTTTCATTGTATAACTGTTTTGAGTAACAACCTGTTACCTTTTCCTGCTTGTTGTCAAGCAGGAGATTAGAATGAATAAGTCTATTCGTCCAAGCGCCGAGTACGAGCAATCAAAGGCACGTTTTCTTAAATGCTAATTGTAGTTTTCAACAGAAAAAATGTAAAAATCTGATTTCTCAGAAACAGTTGGGTCCCCAAATGTTCATGTTTCATGTAGAAAATTCTCCAAAGAGCAAACGTTTGAGGAAAGCATTCCGGACGGATTTTCGGTTTGGTAATTATTTGAGTCTTTCTAATCGGCGGCGCACGAGCAGAGAAGTTGTTTAGAAGTGATCGAATGCTTTCTACCAAGTTAGTCTTTTTGTGCAAGTAATACTAAAATCATTGATGTAATTCTGCAAAAAAATACCAAGTTAGCCTTTTTTGTGAGATATAATATACCCATTTTGTCATGAACAGGCTTGAAAAGTGCGGATTACAGAATACTGTAATGCAAGACACAAATTTAAATTATGTCATTTCTCAATGATCGATCATATTCAGAAAACAACTCACATCATAATGCATCTATATCCCCTAGTGCAATAATATAATGGAAAAGAAGCTTAACCCTCAGAAACAGATTTAGCTCAGATATAAAATTGAGCAGATAAAAAGTAAGTGAAGTATCAGTACGGAATGGAAGCAGAAGCAGAAGCAATCAGAATTCCAAAGAACACATCAAATTGAATTTCAAATCATTTCAAACCTTGAGCTTACGGACAAGGCACAGATACTCCGGTTTAAATCTCGTACCGATTTGATTAAAATTATCGAATCCGAGAAAATATCCGTTTCATTGATACCAATATGGTTTAGAACATTTATCGGCTCGGAGAGAGAGAACCGGCTCAAGTCAATGGGGAATGAAACGCTGCGTTTTACCAAAGTATTCGATTTTTATCAGTTGTTTTTTGCCTTGTCACTGATGAAGGCAATGAAATTAAACAGAACTGTGTCGTCTTGTTTGTCTTCTCTGCTAAAACCCTACTCGAGCTTTCACTGGACAACAACAATGGCGACGACATCTAAAACCATTGAACGAATGAAAACCGTAGATGAATCTGATGTGGGCATCTCCTGTTTCATCTCCCAGCTCCCGGGTTTCCGCGGCATTCTCAAACAAAGGTCATAAGATCAGGAATCTTTTCTTATGCTTTGGTTTTATAGAAGTGATTCTATAGTTTCTATGAACTTGGTGATTTCTTTGATAGAGTTTTAATTTGGTTATAGAGTTTTAATTTGGTTAAAGAATGATTTTTGATGGAGTTGATTCTTAATTTTACTTCTAAGCTAACAAATTGATCCAAAAGATGCAAATTTTGTGAAAAAAATGGAAGTCTTTGATAATTTC